AGGACCATCAAGGGAGAAGAGCAGAGAGCGGGACCCTACCCAGAGAAGCAGTGATGCCTGAAATGGAGCCAGAGATGATGACATAGAGCGATGGAACAGCTTGAGACTTTAGATCAAGAGAGGGTGAGCGACTGTGTGCTGAAGATCTGGGGGGTACGGGGGAAAGGACTGCATGGAGGGGATTGTAACCATGGCAATGAGAGACACTATTACGATAGAATGAATGTAAAACTAATGTTCTCCCATGACCATGTCAACTATCACATAATTCACAATAAAACATTAAAAAAAAAAAAAAAAAACCCACGGGGTGGGGGGGGGAATATATATATATATAATTGAGAAACAATTAAGTTGGAAAACAGGAATTAGTTCTAATTCATAGTGTTACTATCCCAAATTCTTAAACTATATTAAAGGATTTTAAAACCTGCTGACTTAGAAGAAAATAACTTTGGCTCAAACGGCAAGCTTGATGCCAGAAACAGAGTCTGCAGTTACAAAAAACAAAATGGAAAATACTTATAATGGGTCCAAATCTATCATGAATTTAAGCTACTTCATTCAAAAAATTATTTATATATTCACTATACACTACTGATCACAGCTATGAATATATGGAACATAGCAGAATTTAGTTAAAAATTTAATATATATGCATACCTCGGAGAGAGTGAGGCTTGGGTCCAGACCACTACAATATAGTGATGATCATAATAAAGTGGGAGCCCTGGTGTAGGATAAGCACTGGACTGCTAATTACAAGGTCAGCAGTTCAAACTTACCAGCCAATCCTTGGAAACCCTGTACAGGGTAGCTATGAGTCGGAACCGACTTGACAGCAAGCAATAATAAAGTGAGTCACACAATTACTTTGGTTTTTATCAAAGTCATCTTTACACTAGACTGTAGTCTATTAAATGTTCAGTAGCATTATTAATAGTTTAAAATACTGAGACACCAAGATAGGAAGCAAGCGCAGCCTGTTGGAAAAATGGCACCAATAGACTGGCTATGAGGCAGGGTTCCCGTAAACCTTCAATTTTTAAAAAACAAAAAAGAAAAACTGTGAATTATCTATGAAGCATAATAAAGCAAAGCAAGCCAGTGCTTATTTTCAAAAACATATAGTAAGGAAATGCTGCATGTTTTAATAAGGAACTCACATAACTTATCATACTCTATTATGACACTATTTGATAGTGTAGAGTCCAGGTGTGGCGCTGTGGGTTACTGCGTCAGACTGCAAAGCCATTTGAACTGCAAGGTCGGCGGTTCAAGCTCACCAGCTGCTCCTTGGAAACCCTATACAGGGTCGCTATGGGTCAGGATCGACTCAACAGCACTTCACAACAACAACATACTAAAAATAGAATCAAAGATTTAGAACTGCAAACCATCACTCTAAGCATTGCTACCTTTCCCCATCTGTCTTTCCACCCTTCCTCCAAGACCCGAACAGTTCAGAAAGAGGGGGAAAGCAAGGAGATGATGTTCAATGATCTGCCACAGTTTAAAGCTGGCTAGATAAGGAACCCCCATCTCGCCCTCCACAGGGGCTCTTTGCCCCTGCTACTTCAGGGCCTTGGGGGCATTTGTGTCAGAGTAACTAAAAGTCACAGAAAAAAATGAGGTAGCTGAGGGGGCTTCAATAACTTCATGGAAAAATATAACTGTAAGATAATGTAATTTTTTCATAAACTTTTTCAATTTGGCTTTGTATTTACTAATGGCAAATTGTACATATTCTTTTTTTTTTTCTTCTGTTTTTAAGAGGGGACACGAAATGCTCTTTACAGTAAAATGGACCTAAACACATTACAAAGCAAAATGCATGATTTGCCTTAAAATTTTTCAAAGCATGAAACTTCTCCTTGCAGCAGACTGGACCCTTACGCTTACTTTCCCAGATCTCTGTTCCCTGATGTCTTGACTCTTCCGTTCTTAAAGGTCGTTCAGTTCAAAACTGACCAGTACTGCAACTGCTATTCTGAATCACACCATGTCAGACTGAACCCCATGGGCACATGATATGCCACAATACAAACCTTAAGGTCCCTGTGCATGAGTCCTTTACTGTGCAAGAATTCCACAGCCTCAGCTATCTGCAGAAAGATGTGCAGACACATGGTCCTCTCCCTTTCCTCAATGGTACATCGCCTGTTCATCCAGTCTTTGAGGTTTTCCTTCCGGCACAGCTGCATCTGAATGTAAAGATACACCTTGGGTGAACTGGGCTGGAGTTTTTCTGCAGTGGTTTTTGTGAGATCTAAGCTTAAAGTGGTTGGTCTCGGAGGAGAAACAGACAAAGTCGGTTCAGAAGAAGACTTGCTACTGGAATGCTTGAACCCAGTTAGCTTATTAGCATAATGGTTGCCAACATACAGTCGGTTCATTTTGATCTCTTCTTTGCTGGAGGCATTATCACAGCCCGAATCTTCAAACACTATAGAAGAGGAGGTTCTCTCCCTCGACCTTACATAAGAGGCCTCAGAAGGGCAGAGTTCAAAGGAGTGCCCCTCATCATTGCCATCCATCGTGCCATCTTGCACCTCGCCGTCTGTAAGGCAACTGTCCTGGAGGTTGTATACTGGGTCCACAGACCCACTGACGTCTCCATGGTCAATTCCCGAGAATTCCAGCGGAGAGAACTGGCTCTCAGATGAACTTGTCTGGCCACAAGAAATCCCTACTGAAAAAGATCTACTTCTGTGTGAAGGAGCTATGATTTCAATATGTTCTTTTGTAGAGAAGGGATCCATTCTGCGGATTTTCACTGATGGTGCATCCATTGGGCTTGGTGAACTGAGTGGCCAATCCGTGCTAGAAAGGGGAGGAATACAGAAGTAAGGGAGTGAGTATATATTGATTAGATTATTTGTGTTCTGTGTTCTCTGTCTAAAAAGAATCAACTACAATTAAACCAATTTTCAAATGGCCAACAACATAAAGATTATATAAAAATACGCTGTACGAGACCAAAAAAAATCACATTCCATCTATTCCTTCTAAAAATTTGAATTTGAAAATTTTACTGTACACTGGAAACAATTAGCTGGGGCCATCATGCCAGAGCAGACAAGACCTTTTGTGCAAAATACAAAGTCCTGGAGTAAGTAAAGGACCGGACTCCTCGGTGGCCTGAATTCTGAAGCTTCAGTCCAAATTAAGACAGCAGCTCACAGTTAGCTACATGCCAGCTTCCATGGGTTAGTAGGGACCACAACTGCAAGTGCTTCTGTAATAATGTCCCTGGCATGAATCTACTCCTGCGTTAAATACTCTAGGCAGGCACATTTTATCTCTGTTGTTTTTTAAGTCATCAGCTTCCTTTTTGTTCTCATTTAGAACTTTTTAAACACCTTCCTTCTTATGGCATATCATATTATCTGGGCTCAGATGGAAAATGTCTTTGGGTTACCTAAGTTTGTTGTTGTTGTTCAGTGCTGACAAGGTGGTCCCAACTCATATGGACCTTACGTAGGGTTTCTGAGGCTGTAAATCTTTGCAGGAGTAGAAAGCCTCATCTTTCTCTTGTAGTGTGGCTGGCCTGCTTGAACTGTCTACCTGTGGCTGACAGTCCAGCATTTATTCTACAGAAAGCCACCATGCTTCCCTAAGTTTACATATTTTTAAATGCAAACAGATTAAATCTATTTTTAAAGGAGTTGGAACTTGTTAATTGCTATGAGAAAAAAAAAATTTAAGACAAAAATATACAATACCTCATATTAGAAAATTCACTGTAAATCTCTCATAGAGCTCTGTCTGATATTAATTTTAAAAATTCATATTTTGAAAAACTAAATTAACTAACAAGTGGATCAAGCACTTTCTAAAACATGGTAACAGAGAAAAGAAATCTGCAGTCCTTTCTCTTTAAAAATGAAGAAAACACACTAAAGTTACAGAAATGATATTCAACTCACAGAAGCAAAAGCTAAACTAAAGATGAATATTTTTAAGACTATATTTAACAAAGACGTTACCTTTCATCTTTCAGCCAGATTTCATCCATCTTTTCTTGCCATTTCTCTGGTGGTGTTTCTAACCAGGCATTAAAATATCTGACAATTCCTGGATGTTCAAGCTTGGCTAATGCTTTAACTTCACGCATTACCTTTTCCCGAGCCAGTTCCCTGAAATAGAGAAAAAAGAAGACACTGAAGGCTGTTCACATCTGCAGAAGTTATCATATTCAACAGTGAAAACACATAGGGAATAAGAGTCTCCCTTGAATCTAAAATGAGAAATAGATGAGCTGACTTAGCGCTACTGATAAAATTCTAAGAAGGCATATAATAAATCCTGTGTTTTTAAAAAAAAACAAACATATCACAATAGGTTACAGTATATTTTAACCTACTGGTTTTTTTTCTTCTGAAAATAAGTATATCTATTGGCTCATTTAAGTAAAAATTTCTTGACTAAATAAAAATAAATCACTATAGACTTAATAAAGAGAAATAGGCAAAAGTGAGTGAAGTACTCAGAAAGATGGAGAAGAACCACTATAAAAAGGATGCATATTACAATACAAAAAGCAAGTACTATCGCATCTGTTGGTTTATAACAAGCCTCAACTAAAAAAATATCACAGGCAGTGATGTGTTTAACTAGAAAAACATCAATTTTTTTCTTCAGGTTGACAGCGATTCTAACACCATTTATTCTGAGATTTCACCTTACACAACATAAACACAAATTATAACATTTTCTCCTCCCCAGAACAAAGTCAGGTGACTGTGACTTTTTCCTCAGTGTTTTCTTGTTACTGATGTCTCCCACTCTCCCAGTCTGAGAATCCCAGTACATTTTTTAACTCTCTGACTTTGAGGTCTCTATTCCTTCTTTTCAATTCCTTCATCCATTTTATTCTCATTGGTCCCTACTGCTGTAACAATCATGTTATATATTTAAAGATTAAATGCTGCAAGAAAATCTCCAGGCCAATGTTCCTGTCGTCAATCCTTTTCCCATGTAAGCCATCTACACACCATCACCAGAGCCAAATTCCACTCTGATCACGGCATTCTTCTACTCCAAAATCCAAATGCCTAAGGAATAAAATCCAAACTCCTTCACACCGTGCGCACAGTGTGGCAGCTGATCTCTTCCACCCCGTCTCCTATGTGCCCTCGGTTGTACCTCTGCTCCCCCCATCTGGAAATACTCACCATACTCGGTACCATTTCAGGGTGCTTGTCTAGAGCCTCTGCTCATGCCAGCCATGCACCTCGCTGCCCTGCCCTTACAGAGCCTCTTATAAGGGACAGGCTCTTCTGGAATATGCAGTGCAAATGTCACCACCTTACAGAACTTGGCTTCCTCGACTGCCTTTCAGTGACATTTGCTCTTTCTTCATGAGAAGGTATTTACTAAGATAAGGCATGAGTTATGATCTTCCTTGCACTTGTAATTTATGTAAGTATATGTACAAAAGTCCCATATAATTATAGGTTTCTCGAAAGCAGAAGCCTTAATTTTTATATCCCATGTGGAACTTCATATATATGAGTATTTAAACTACTCAAATGTACTATACCAAAAGAAAATAATTCATTCCATAATACCTAAATCATCAACATCCCTTATCTGCAGTCAAAATGGTGACGCTACCAGCTAGCAGGACAGGACAGCAATTAGTGCACATTTAATCACCAATTAATAAGAGCCTTATACAGAGATGGAAAAGAGTCCTGGTGTGGTGTTTGAACCGCAAGGTCGATGGTCCATCCCCAACAGTCACTCTTCGGAAACCCTATACCGAGTCACTATGGGTCAGAACCAACTTGATGGCACTTAACAATAACAGCAATATAGTTGGAGAAGGAGCTCTGGTAGCATAGTGGTTACAAGTCAGGCCAAAGGTCAGCAGTTTGAAACTACCAGCCATTCTGCAGGAGAAAGAGTGGGCTTTCTGCTCCCATAAAGATTTACAGCCTCGGAAACTCTATGCAGGATCAGTATGAGTCAGAACCGACTCCATGGCACACCACCACCACCACCACCATATAGATGGACAGCCCATTATCTGAAGCATAACATTGTTCTAAGCCAGTAATTCCATTTTGAGAAATTGATCCAAAGAAAGCAACAGAAGCCAGAAACGTATTGTGTAGTACTGGTAACTATACAACCAATTACATAAATGAATGCCCAGAAGACTGGCTGTTCAAACCCACCAGCTGCTCCTTGGAAGCCCTATAAAGGGCTGCTATGAAGCGGAACAGATTCTCCACAGCACATAACAACCATAACAAAAATGCCCAGGAAAAAAGTAATGAAACAAAATATGAGGGGTCTTCAAAAAGTTTGTGGAAAATACAATGAAAAGATAATGGAATTTTCCCACAAACTTTGAAGCCCTTTCATATTCTAGAATGTAAATAGTGGTTATTACTGGGTTATTGGTGTGAAGTGCCTTCCAGTTGGTTGCAACTCACAGTAACCCTGTATAGGGTTTCTGAAGAGCGGCTGGTGAGCTTGAACTGCCAACTCTGTGGTTTAAAGCGACCTTACAGTCCAGCACATTAACCCTCAGAGTCATACCAGGGCTTATTACTGGGTGGCGGTGGTGGTAGCGGTGGTGGTGGTTGTGGTGGTGGTGGTGGTGTGTCATAGTTCTGACTCATAGCGACCCTGCCTAGGGTTTCTGGGGCTGTAAATCTTTATGGGATCAGAAAGCTTCCTGTTTCTCCCACAGAACAGCTGGTAGTTTCAAACTGCTGACCTTGTGATTAGCAGCCCAATGTGTATCCACTATGCTACCAGAGCTCCTTATTACTGGGTAGGAGGGATAAAAATAGTTTTTATTATTTCCCACAATACAGAATATTTTTTAAATAGTGCTATTTGTTAAAGTGTGTAGGAATTATGGGAGCACAGTGGCTCCACAGGATAAGTACTGGATTGCTTAATACAAAGTTGGCAGTTCAAGCCCACTAGCCACTCTGTAGGAGAAGATGAGGCTTTCTGCTCTTGTAAAGATTTATCCTTTGAAACCCTATATAGGGTTATTATGAGTTGGAAACAACTTGATGATACTTAACAACAATAATGTTGTTGTCAGTTGGACTTATAGTTCGAGTCAGTTGGACTTATAGCAACCCTGTACAGGGTTTCCAAGGAGCATCTGGTGGGTTTGAGACACCAACATTGTGGTTCAAACTGACCTTGTGGTCCAATGCATTATTCTGCAGCACCACACCAGGATGCTAATGACAATAATGTTATTGTTGTTGTTATGTGCAGTGGAGTCGGTTCCGACTCATAGTGACCCTGTATAGGGTTTCCAAGGCTGTAAATCTTTACGGGAGCAGAAAAATGACAATAATAGGTATCATAAAAGATGGGCTGTTCTTGTAAAGATCTGAAGTCTTGGAAACCCTATATAAGGTTGCTATTAGTTGAAATTGACTCAGTGGAAGTGGGTCTTTCTGATTTATTGTTGTTGTTAAGTGCTGTCAAGTCGGGTTCTGACCCATAGTGACCCTGCATCGGGTTTCTGAGGAGCGGCTGAGAAATGGGATATTATTCAGACAAATGAAGACAAATGAAGTTCTGATCTATGCTATGACATGAATGAACCGTGAAAACACTATTCTGAATGAAATAATTCACACACACAAAAAGAAATATTGTACAATCCAAATTAAATGAAATAACAAGAATAGGCAAATGAATAGAAACATAAAACTTCCTAGGGATGGCTGGGTGGGGAAATAGGGAGTTAATGCTAAAGGGTTACTGAAGGTCTATTAGGAGTGAATTCAGCAGGGCAAATGTTATTAATGTCATGGAATTATATACTTGAATTGGTTTAAATGGTATATTTTCAATGTATGTCTTACTACAATAAAATGAAAACACACCCAAAAAACAAGGGTGGACTTTATAAGTAGATGCAAAATAATATAAATAGATCACACCTTTGGTTATCTGGTAGAACTAAGAACCTTAGATTCTGAAGGTCGGAAACCGTGTTTTCTATAGGCTCTAGAGAACATAGATTCTCAGTAAATAAAGATAATTAAAGGTGGAGAAGCCTTAATTAGGAGTCCTGGTGTGGCACTGTGGATTAATGCACTGGACTGCAAGATTGGTTTGAACCACAAAGTTTGTGGATCAAGCTCATCAGTCACTCCTTGGAAACTTTATACAGGATTGCTGTGAGTTGGAATAGAATCAATGGCACTTAGCAACAGTCTCAATTAAGGAATCTTGGTGTGGTGCTGGGGAATAAGCACTGGACTCACTGGACTGCTAACTGCAAGACCAGCAGTTCAAACCTCCTCAGACACTGTATACAAGGATACTAAGAGCCAGAATCGATTCAAGGGCACTTAACAACAACGTCTCAATTAAAGGGAACGTGGTGGCATAGTGGGTCATGTGTTGAGCCTGCTAACTGTACGATCAACATTTCGAATTCACCAGCTGCTCCTCAGGAGAAAGACGAGGTTTTCTGTTCCTGTAAATGTCCATAGCCTCAGAAACTCTAAACAGGGCCACCGTGAGTTGGAGCTGACTCGATGGTACACAACCACCAGCAGCAGAAGCCTCAATTCAGAAGGCCATACTGTCTATCAGAACATCTGGTAATAATTCCAAGTTTACAAAAAGTAGCATCCATTACCTGTTGGGGAGGCGGATCCTTTTAATTGCATAGTTGCAGTCATCTACTTTATTTCTAGCTTCAAAGACAACTCCAAACCCTCCACGACCCATGCACTGAATTGGTTCAAAATCTGTTAGATATCTAAGGGGGAGGGGGGAAGAAAAAGTTTACAAATGACAAAAGTTTACAAATCATTTTCAATGTTGTAGTAATTATCAATTCAATATATTTTATGATACATAAGAATATCTATTTAATAAGTCTCGTAGAAATTATTACTAAAAATTGTAATTTGAATTCTACTGATAGCTTTCTTTGTTCTTTTTCTGGTATAAATTAGAACACATTCTAATTTTCTCCCCTAGGGAATTTATAAATAATACAAAGGCTTCAGTTTAATTGGGAATCACTTGGTCTTAGAGCAATAGTACACTCTCCCTCCTACTTAATACTGTCTGCCCAGCACTTACCAAAACAGATTGCTAATTCTCTAAAAATTTACCTCATCTAAGCACTTTGGACTTTTAATTAGAAAATGTAATTTAATTTTATATCACTGCCTGTACATTTCCTGTGAAAATGCAGTCACTCATATCATATATAAGTATTTTTAGTCAGAAATCTTTCTAAGAACAAAATCTGTCTGGCATTAACTAGTGGCCTCGAGTCAGTAACGCTCATTACCAAAGGTATTCACACCCAAGCAAAGCTACACGCCATCATCATCTGTGGCTTACAGATGGACAGCTACACTGCAGTCTGCTTCTCCTTCAATGCATGACCTCCCTGATCTGCACTGGATACTATAACTTGCACCTCACTCTCTCACAACTTCGGGGGTTTTGCTTCTGCTGTTTGCGCTACTGTTGTTGCTGTTAAGTGCCGTTGAGTCGATTCTGACCCATAGCGACCCTGTATAGGGTTTCTGAAGCGCAGCTGGTGAGCTTGAACCACCAACCTTGCAGTTCAAATGGCTTCGCAGTCTGGCGCATTAGCCCACAGCGCCACACCAGGACTCCATTTGCTCTATTAGGACAGCCTTTTCTCTTTGTTCTTAATGAACCCCTAGTCTTCAGATGACAATAGCGCGGGACTGGGCAGTGTTTCTGTTGTGCACAGGGTTGCAATGAGTCGGAATGGACTTGACGGCGCCTAACAACAACAACAACAGTTCTTCTTGCATTCTGATAATTTCACTATGACTATACAGCATTCCTAGAACCATATTTTAGTTCTCTTTGTATTTCCAGAGCCTGGGCACTACCTGGCAAATAGATCTAACACATGTCTATTGAGTGTAAATGTATGCATGCTGTGGATATGTGCTCCTCCAGCCATATGGGGAGAACTACAGTATCTTTGGTGTCTCTTATAAGGTTATTACTTTCATTTTAATATAGAAGTAGTTGGCTCAGCTGCCTAGAACATGAAGTTAAGGAAGAGAAGCAACAGATCCCAACTCTCCAAGGGCCAATTATCTTTGCAGAGAATGAAGAGTACAACTTGTATCCCTAAAAATAGCTAGTCAAGGTACCTCAGCACAAAACCACCTCCCCAACTATAAAAATCTATGAAGTTTACATCCTACTCCTGGAGGGACAACTGAACGATCCTCCTATATTAAGAAAAACACCCGTGAAAACTGATATATCTTCTGAAAGGTTATATATATATATATATACACATACATACATACACACTACGAGAGCTCCATATATATGTTGTTGTGAAGTGCCGTCAAGTTGGTGCCGACCCATAGCGACCCTGTATAGGGTTTCCTAGGAGCAGCTGGTGAGCTTGAACCGCCAGCCTTGCAGTTCAAACGGCTTTGCAGTCTGGCGCATTAATCCACAGTGCCACACCAGGACTCCTCTCTCTCTCTCTGGTAGCATAGTGGTTACGAATCAGGTTGCTAATCCCAAGGTCGGCAGTTTGAAACTGCCAGCTGTTACACGGGAGAAAGAGGAGGCTTTCTGCTCCCGTAAAGATTTACAGCCTCAGAAACCCTGTGTAGGGTCACTATGTGTCAGAACCGGCTGCATGGTACTTAACAACAACAACATATATATAAATACATACATATATACACATTATACACACACACACACACATAATAGGAGTGCAGTACTCCATTAAGATAAGCACTGGACTGTGAACCAAAAGATCTGTGGTTCAAGCCCTCCAGATGTTCCTCAGGAGAAAGATGAGGCTTTCTGCTCCTAAGAAGATTTAAAGTTTCAGAAACCCTATACAGAGTCTCTGTGTGTCAGAACCAACTTTATGGCACTTAACAACATATATATAATGACTTTATATATGTTGTTAAGTATTTTAAGTTTGTTCTGTATTATAGCATCTCTGTAAAGGATTTCCAAGGATCGAATGGTAAGCTTGAACTGCTGACCTTGTAGTTCAAACTTACTTTGCAGTACAGCACATTAACCTGCAACAGCACAGCAGAATTCATTACATACTTATATATACACATATATTGTTGTTGGAGTCCTGGTGTGGTTTGCTGGGCTACAAACTCAGTTTGAACACAAGGTGAGCAGTTCAAACCCCCAGGGCGCTCTTTGGAAACCCTATACAGGGTCACTATGGGTCGGAACTGAATCAACAGCACTTAACAAGAGTTACAGTATTTAATATTTATTGAATGCTTACAGTGCCTGAGTCACTATTAAGAGTGTGAGCTCTGGAGTCAGTAGTGAGTTCAAATCCCAGGTGTGTCAGCATTTATCATCTGGGAGCATAGACAAGATGATGCTTACGCTTATGATACTTACGATATTGTTATTAAGTGCCTTCAGGCCAGTTCTGACCCATAGCGACCCTGTATAGAGTTTCTGAGGAACGGCTGGGGGTTTGAACTGCCAATCTTTCAGTTAATAGCCCAGTGCTTAGTCTACACAGAACTCCATGTATATATATAATGATCTACAGACTTCTGGTGGCACAGTGAATTAAGCACTGGGCTGCTAACTCCTGGTAGGTAGTCTGAACCCACCAATTGCCCCACGGAGGAAGATGAGTCTGTCTGCATTCATTAATATTTGCACTCTCAGAAACCCTATGGAGTGGATGTACTCTGTCCTACATGAATTGTAGATGGCAGTGAGCTTCTGTTTTTGTCTGCAACAATGACTATCTATGTAATGAAAGTCCCCTAGGTCTAAGCATCATCTTGTCTACAATCCCAGATGATAAATGCTGACACACCTGGGATTTGAACTCACTACTGAATCCAGAGTTCACACTCTTAATAGTGACTCAAGCACAGTAAGCACTCCATAAATATCAAGTACTATTATTATAATCACAAAGCCCCTTTATTAAAGGGACAAAGCAACTGCAGTCTTCACACTGCATACAGTTAGAGGAAAGTTGATTAGTTTCATTCAATGTCAGATTCTCTTGACAACAGCCACACACACACTCACCACTGCCCATTCCTCCCCTAGTCTTACTTAAACACGACCTAAAGTTCACTTCAAACATGACCTCAGTTATGATGCCCTCCTGAGCCATCACAAAGAGTTAGTGACTTTTCTCAGCATTCACACCCACTGAGGACTCTTTCTATTTACCCTGAAACACTGTCTTGCATATAGGACCATAAGTTCCAAACAATGGTGAAGGTACCATGGATGACTTCATCAGTGATGACTCCCTTGTTCCCCCTGCCTCTCACTGGAGTATGAGGGGGCTTCAAAAATTTCATGGACAAATTCCATTATCTCTGAAGTCTATCTTTCTACCAATTTTTTTAAGCCTCCTTGTGTTACTCAGCTTCTTCATTAGCAAGAGTATTAAGGTAGCCTTTATCATTTGCTAGGCAACTAGTAAATTTTGCTTTAAGAAACTAAAGCAAAAAACCAATCCTCAACTTTTGATAGTATGAATGGAACTTACATAATAAGGAGCTCTGGTACCATAGCAGTTAAGAGTTGTGCTGTTAACCTCAAGATTAGGCTTTCTGCTCCCGTAAAGATTTACAGCCTTGGAAACCCTATGCAGGGTCACAATGAGTCAGAATCTACTCAACAGCACTTAACAACAACTAGTACAGCCAAGCCCTGTACATGGTAGACTCTCAGTCACTAAGTTCTCTAAATAAAAATCTGATTTGGCAGTTGAAATTATAAACTTCTGTAACACTATTTCTATCCTGCTTTTGGTAAGAAACACTTTGAATGCATTGCAAGTACCAGTGAATTACGTCTATGCTTTATTTAACCAAATATTCACACACACACACACACACACACACACACAAAAAGGGTCAAGCAAGGTCTTAGTTTAAAGAAATCATTTCTTCTTTGATTGAGATTGTGACCATAAGAAGCTATAACACACCTATTTTCCTATGAGACTTTTATTGTGACACATCCATATCCTTATGGGACTCTTACCGTGATACATATCCGGAACTTTTTATGTCATTCCAGCTGCTGTCACTGGAGTCCCCATTTATAGAATCATACTTGCTTTCAGTTTGACATTGGGTTTCAGATTCTTTCCTTTGCTAGTAAAATGGAAATAAACAGCAGTCACCACCAGTACAAAGCTGAATAGAAGATAGCTAACAACCAGGTTATAATGTTGAAAAATAAGTAAGACTAAGAAAAACATAAACATTATAAAACTACAATATACAGTGTTTCCACTTTTATGTTACAGAAAAAGTGTATCTTCCCCACCACCATCACTCTAGTGTTTCTTTATAATGTGGGTGTATCATACAGACATGGAGTTCTGGTGTGGCACTGTAGGATAAGCACTAGACCGCAAGGTTGGTGGTTCAAACCCACCAGCTGCTCCTTGAAAACCCTAAAAAGGGTCACCATGAGTCAGAACTGACTCAGTGGCACTTAACAGCAACATATGTGCAGTATACCATGTAACTAGGAATACAGAAAAAGACTGTGTACATATGTAAGTAGGAGTGCAAACGTCTTTCTTTCCCAACCAATCTTGTGTTGTTGTTAAGCGTGGTTGAGTCAGTTTTGACTCACAGCAACTGTGTATAGGGTTTCCAAGGAGTGGTTGGTGGGTTTGAACTGCCCACTTGAGGTTAACAGTCCAGCGCTTATCCTACAGTGTCACACAAGGACTCCACCAATCTTGTAAGTGCTTTAAAAATGATTCCACAAATCCTTACAGCAAGAATCATCCCCACCCCCTCCACACACAGAGTAGACAGGGATGGGCAACTTGGACATTGGCTACCCAAAATGGGGGAGGGGGGCTACAAAGGCAAGAAGTGACTGGCTTACAAGCTTTCAAGAGGGAACCTAGATCCAGAGGGCCTGGAGGAAGGTAGAATCTCCAGTGAGTAGTATTCAATCTGACTAGGCGGGGCTGATGAAATGAAATGCGGATGGGTCTCTTGTGATACAGTAGTGAATAATTGTTATCAGGACTGATTGTGAGGGTTGGAAATGTAAAGGCAGACGTTTTATAGCAAGGAGGGGAGTGATTAACTTTGCAGTCTACGAGTGGAGGTCTCTAGGACCATCAATGGAGAAGAGCAGAGAGCAGGACCCTACCCAGAGAAGCAGTGATGCCTGAGATGGAGGCAGAGATGATGACGTGGAGAGAAAGAGAAACTGGGGACTTTAGATCCAGAGAGGGAGAGCGACTGTGTGCTGAAGACCTGGGGGTCACGGGGGGAAGGATTGCAGGGTATATCCTTTGGTTGGCTGATGATGCATGGAGGGGATTGTAACCATGGCAATGAAATGATATACGATAGAGTTAATGTAAAACTAATGTTCTCCCCTGTAAACTATCACATAATTCACAATAAAACATTAAAAAAAAAAAAATTATTCCAACAATAGAAAATGGAATCTGACATCTCATTTACAGTGCCTCTTCACCAACATCTCCTAAAAGATTTCCAGAGGATGTCAACATTGATTATGGTTGGAAGGGAATAATGCAGCGTATTTGTTTAGCCAATGATTCTTTCAACAAATATTTATACTAGTCTACGTGCCAGGCACCATCTAAGAGGTTGGGAGACAGTGGTAAACACCATAGGCCTGGTCCTGGGACTAAGACTGCACAGGGCAGTGGCTGGGAATTTACCTATTGAGCACTTTAGTAAGGGGAGTAAGGTTATTCTAAGACAAAGGAAGGGAATCTAACTCAGAATTAGAGGTTAAGAAAGACTTCCCATAGGACATGACAACTAGTTTCAAGCCAAATGATGTCCAGGACTTAACAGTGGGAGGAGGCAGGGAGTAAATAAGGTGCAGAGACAAGGTCAGAGGGACTGAGAGAAGTAGTCCAGCAACATGGCAGAGCATGGACGAGAGGGGAGAAAATGTTAGGGCAATGGTGACATGGAATAATGAACCAACCCCACAAAAATCCCAAACCAAATCCACTGCTACCAAGTCGATTCCGACTCAGAGTCCGTACGTACGTCAGGTTTCCGAGACTATGAATCTTTATGGGAGTAGACAGCCACCTCTTTCTCCTGGGAGCAGCTGGTTTGTATTTGCAGTTCAGTATTTATCCTATGGCACCACCAGGGCTGTTATTGTAGTTAAGTACTGACTAGTCCATTTCAACAAGACCCTGTGTAAGGTTTCTAAGGAGCGGCTGGTGCATTTGAATCACTGACCTTCTGGTTAGCAGTCTAGTGTTTATTCTACAGTGCCACACCAGGACTCTTAAGTAATGAGCTGTTTTTGTTAAGTGCTGTCGAGTCGGCTCCGACCTACAGTGAGTCTGTATAGGATTTTTGGGGAACAACTGACGGGCTTAAACCTCCGACCTTGTGGTTCAAACTGACGGTGCAGTCCAGCTTATTAACCCACAGAGCCACACCCATGTTCCGATTAATGAGTTGTTGTTACGTGCCGTCAAGTCAGTTCTGACCCATAGTGACCAAGGAGCAGCTGGTGAGCCTGAACCACTGACCTTGCAGTTCAAACGACTTTGTAGTCGCCACATTAATGCACAATGCCACACCAGGACTTTGATTAATGAGTTGTTGTTGTTAAGTGCCGTCGAGTCGGTTCCGACCCATAGCGATCCTGTACAGGGTTTCCGAGGGTGTAAATCCTTACGGGAGTAGAAAGCCTCATCTTTCTCCCGCGGAGCGGCTGGTAGTTTCGAACCGCTGACCTTAAGGTTCGCAGCCCGATTCGTAACCACTACGATTAATGAGTAGGCAGATACAAATCATTCAGAACCATGTATATTCTAACAACACAGACTTCATCCTAAGATCAATGGGGACTGTAGCTATTAAAGTAAAGGTTCTTTAAGCTAGGACATGTAGACAGGGTTGGGTGTATGGAGAATGAGTTTGAGATAGGGTGAGAACTAAAAGCCTGGGGACTTATTAATGGCCATTTTAATAATTCAGGAGATGCTTGATGGTATTTCTGTTAGGAAGATGGAAGTTGGGATAAAAAAAGTAGACTGAAGATATTTAGGAGGAAGAATTTGATAGAAGTTGGTAAAAATTAGGAGGGAGAGAAGAAAGATTTCTGGCTTTGGTAACTGAGTTGTTGTTGTTATGTGCCATAGAGTCGGTTCCTACTCATAGAAACCCTGTACAGGGTTTCCAAGGCTGTAAATCTTTATGGACGCAGAAAGCCTCATCTTTTCCCAAGGAATAGCTGGTAGTTTTGAACTGCTGACCTGAAGTCTCGCAGCCCGATTCGTAACCACTACGCTACTAGATGGCAGCACATTTCATTGAGAGAGAAACATACCAAGGGAAGAGTTTGGGGCTGGGAATGGAAATGGGTATAGTCTGAGAGCTATGTCCCATTTAATGTATCTGTGTAGACCTACTAGGCAGTTGGTCCAGAGAAATAGTTTCTAAAACTATGACTACGTAAGATAATTGGAGCAGAGAAAGTGAGTGAGATCATTCAAGAAGAGTTTGGGGAATGAACAGGGAAAGGAAAGCGTTGCACAAAAAATACCGAAATAAACTGCCGAGTCCGAGCAATACAAGGTACTAAGGGTTTTCAACACATAAGCTGAAATGGGCCCATCTTTGTTAAAAATTAGACAAGACCTGAAAAATATCCACTAAAGTTAAGAGAGAGAAGAGCATTCACAGCTTTGACAAAAGCAACCTCAGTGGAGCGGTAGTGGTGGAAATCAGACTGCAGTGAGTTGAGGTGTGAACAGCAGGTAATGAAATGGGGCAGAGAGGATAGCAACAATTATTTTATGTACTGGTGTGGCACTGTAGGATGAGCCCTAGACAGCTAAGAAAAGATTTGGTGGTTCAAACCCATCAGCCGCTTCTCAGAAACCCCGTACAGGGGTGCTATCAGTTGGAACTAACTCAGTGTCATACAACAACGAAGTTTAAATACATTTAAGACTAACTTCCCCACCCCACTCCACCCCAAACACACACACAATTAGGTTTCCTATCCACCCAACAATCCTTTGAAATAAATTAGATTCTAAGAAAGCGTCTTACTCTGTGAGGGTGAGGATGGAAAAGTCTGCGCACGATAAAGGTTGTGGCAATGATGCAGAACAGAATGGTTCCAATTATTTCTTTCCACCAGTGTAAGAGGAGGACAGGATCCTTTTTGCGGACATTCTTGTTATAATTCAGGTTGTCCAGAAATCTAACTGTGATTTGTGTGCTCCGCTTGCTTCTTTCCCTCTTGTAGTATGGTAGATAATAACCGTTATCTTCAAAGACAAACAGTAAAAAGACAAACGGCCCAGCTTTGTGAAAAATTAGCACTTTTCCTTTGATTTACAGATTGGACAGCAACTAAAATAAGGCTAATTATTCCTTTCTTGCATTGTTTCACCTCTTTTCTTTAATACTTCAAACAGTTTCATTTATCCTACTTTTTACTTTTTGTGGAATAAATATGCTTTCCTTTATTCCATTAGTATCTGAAATTTTCTTTATATTGAAATGTAACACTATAAAAAAGAGTTAAGGGATACCTTATTCATTAACTCATTAATAATTCAACCCATTACATAAAAGAATTATGCAGTACTCAGTCTTCCATCAGGATATTCTAAGCTTGCCTTTCACTTGATATCAATAAAATACCCAATTTTAGGAAAATATCATGCTTTTGGTTCATTTCAGGCCATTAAAAATGAGTTTGTCCCAGAAAGCAACCTGTCTTTGTATATCTTCTATTTTGCGTTATTTAGACAGATTACACAATTTCTCTTACTTTTCTTTTGATCACTATCGGATAAAGGCTGTTGTTTCCAGTTCTGAGTCTTCTGGTTTTTTTCTTTTTTTTTTAGTCAACTTTTTGTTGTTGGGGCCATCGAGTCAGTTCCAACTCACAGCGACCCTGTATAGTATTTCTGCTAAGCAGCCAGTGGGTCTAAACCACTAATCTTGCCATTAGCAGTCCAGAGCTTACCCTACAGTGCCAAAGGTGCCATGAAGTCAGTACTGACCCCATGTGACAGAACTGCCCCACGGGTTTTCTAGGCTGTAATCTTAACAGAAGCAGATTATCAAATGATTCTCCCTGGAGTCACAGCATGGGTTCCAACTGCCAACTTTCTGTTAGCAACTGAGTGCTTAATCATTGTGCCACCAGGGCTCTTGAGTTATCAACTTAAATTATACCATAACCTCCCAGTTCTTGAATCTAGAGAATTCTTTCTTACATTTAAAAGAACTGAATTATTTCTGATAGGACTCTTAAGTCTTGTTGATAATATTTATTTCAGCATAAAAAAAGTCTATATGCTTTTTTCTAATACAGATTTAACGTATTTATTTAACTAACTGTTCAAAAGATTTTTACATCTAAATATGTCCTAACTTTATAGAACGGATACTTACCACACAGTAATATAATTAATATCAAAATTTACCTGTTCTTAACTTTTATATCAATTTCTCTTACCTGAGAGCAAAATTAAAAAACTCTAATTTTTTACAGCATTTTCACATAGCTTGAAGGGAAACACCTCTTTTCTTCAGTACATAGACTATAGTATACAGATGTGTAAGTAAACTAAAGAACTAATGACAAGAATTAATAATGTTTATTGGGAGTCCTGGTGTGGCACCACAGGATAAGCACTGGATTACTAACCACAAGGTTGGTGGTTCAAACCTACCAGCCATGCATTCGGAACTCTTTGTGGGTGGCTGAGACATAATCAACTCGACAGCACTTAACAATCTGGTGGCACGAATGGTTAAGCACTTGATTCCGAATTGAAAGGCTGGCCACTGGAACTCATGCAGAGGCATCTCAAAAAACAACTCTGGACAGCTGCTTCTGAGAAGACACAGACTTGAAAACCCTTCTATTCAGATACACAGGGGATGGACTGCAACTAACAACACTTATGGAACAGTATGTGCCAGGTACAGTGCTAACTAAGACTGGATATGTATATTCTCATAACGACCCAATGGACAGACATCATGATTAGTCTCCTCATCTCATAGATGAAAGAACTAAGACATAGGCCAGTTAAGTGTGCCCAACTGAGAACATGGTATAACTGGGATATGACTTTAGAGCTTATACACTTAGCCAACAATCACAATATAACCTCCCAGACATTTTTATTTCATGGAACTGTGGGTTAATGTACTGGACCACAAGGTCAGTTTAAATTGAAAGGTCGGTGGTTCAAGCTCACCAGCTGCTCCTCGGAAACCCTATACATGTTCACTATGAATCATAACCAACTCGATGGCACTTTACAACAACAACAACACTCCAATCAACTACTTTTCACTTGAATTCTACTAATTAATTTCAAGTTAATATGTAAAATAAATTTAAATAGATAAATCTTAGTATTTTCAATCAAGTAGTAATCACACTTACCATAGGGATATTGCAATATTGAAAGTGCACCATTACTGTATTCTTCATGAGAAAACTTATCATTACTAAGACATTTGTCAAATTCATCAGACCCCACCAACACAGGAGTTCTGGAAGGAGAGTCTAAAAGAAAAATGGTAAAATTTTAGCTATTATGAGTAATGAGAACACAAGTACCTAGCTCATAAAGATCACGTTTTATATCCTAATGTGGACAGTACCGTCTGGAGTTTAAAAAGCTTGCAAGTGACCATTTAAGATACAACTACTGGAAGAACAAACAAGGTGGCGGATCGAGTGGAACTGCAGTAAGGAGCTCTGCTGGCAACAACACAGAATACCTGACCAAGCAGGCTCAGGGGATGGTCCCAGAACTCTGAA